GCCATTGCCTAGAATTCTGGCAGATTTAGTCTAGCTCAAATATGGATTATTAAGTTGATTATTTTTGTCATGTGATGTGATACTTTTTGGTTTTTCAGTTTGACGATCACTTTTGCATTTTAGTTTGGATGTTACTTTTCTTTAATATAGTTTGACTATTAGTTTCATATTTCAATTTGATCACACAATATCAGTTTAATATAATCTTGCAAGTTCTTCTCTTCAATTTTTGTAGAGATATTTATAAATGTTAAAATCTAAAGTTTTTTATATTTCATGGGGGTTATTTAGTTATTTAAGAACCGTATCGAACCGTACCGTACCGTACCGAAAATTGGTACGGAACGGGACATGTTCTACATATACGCGGGTCGGTACCGGTTCTTGATTTTTAAAAGAACCGTACTTTGGGACGGGATAGGTTTTTCGAAATAACCGTCCCGTACCGTCCCATGCTCACCCCTACTCACTAACTGTTTGTTTATATGCCTAACCCACTAACCTTTTGTTTATATGCCTAATGGAATACTTTTATTGATGCTGATGTGAATACACAAATTACCCTACACTATATCCACATAAATCTACCTTGTTCACTATTTAACCACATTAGAAGTACTCCAACATTGGTGGTTTATGTAGGTGAGCTATGGATGGTTCTTTGCTGCGTTTTCCTTCATTTTTGGCTGTGTTTCTTTCATTTGTTGGCTGCGTTTTACCTGCATTTTCGATGCTGCTTTTATATTAATTAAGCCTTCAGTTTTACTGTGTTTCCCTTCATTTTTTGGCTGTGTTTTACCTGCGCTTTTTATGCTAGTTTTATATTAATTAAGCCTTCAATTGTGATTAACAATCTCCACAAGTTCATATTAAAGGAGACTAAAAGTACGCTACATGTTTGATAATATGTCAAGGTCATTTCATCGCAATTGCCTTCAAGTGCTGCATTTTCCCCTATACTTTCTACACTATTTTTCCTGCACTTTTTGCTGCGTTTTTTACTTCGTGATTTATATTAATTGAGACTTGGGTTTGTCATTAAGTGGTCTCCAAAAGTTTATATGAAAGGAAATTAAAAGCACACGACATGTTTGATTGTGTATTGTTTAAATCAACATTTTCATTTGAATTAGAAGAGTACATAACAAAATGTTGAAATAAAAAAAGCCCTTTGGAGCAGGGTTGATCATTTGATGATCAAAATCACACAAAAACATTACAAATGCTTACACTTATAGAATGAAATAAGGATTGCTTTTTAAATTTGTTTTCAATTTGAATGAAAACTAAACCCACTAACTATTTCTTTATATACCTAATAGAGTACTTCTACCGTTATACATTTCAATTTATGAACTTACTTAAATTATATATCCACATAAGTCTACCTCTTGGTTCATATACCTAATAGAGTACTTCTATGAGTTGTACCGTTGTACATTTCAATTTTCTCATGTCTTATAAGTGCCTAATCATATTAGATGTTTGTTACGACAATGCGACCTGTTGACATGTTGTTTTCAAGTGGGGTGGGAGTGGTAGTAAAATTAGTAGGGACAAAACTTCCAAAATGCTTCAGATATTTGGTTATTATCCGGTGGAGTGTTGGGTATAAATTGTATTATGCTCATTGTAAAGCAAAAATGCAACTGTGAAGACTAATTAGAACCGTGAATATCCAAAAGAAAGAATATAGATTATGCAATATTAAGCAAAAAGACTAAATATGATATGTAAACTAGACATCCAGTACATTGCACTCGGTCGATGATATATACTCCCACATTTATAATATTCATACCTTAATTACCTAAGCATTGTTCATAGTGTTTTATCGTAACACCAACTAATTCAACTGAATCTCATTTTTTGTGAAATCGTTATGATATATTATATAGCTCCTAAAATTAACATTCAAAGATTTATGTTGAAAACATTTTACAAAATTCATAAAAAATGAATGTTGAGCATATGACATTCGCGCAATGCGCGATCAATTTACTAGTTTTGTACAATATACATTCAGTAAAACATTAATTAAATTATTATAAGTAATGTTTTGCTTTTAATTATGAAATAAAAAAGTGAAAATTACTCATATGAACCACTTTTACTCTTTGTATTGCACTTATGACCTCCAATTTTTTTCTCTCCTTTTGTTCGTCGCATTTCATATGTTCCTTACTTTCTCTTCCACGAAGCGATCGCTTCTCTCTCCAACCACGAAAGGAATGTCAGCCGTACGAATTTGACAATAGCTCCACCGCTTCTAGGCACCGCCGAAGTAGCTTCCCAGCCCCGCCAGTGTCTCTCTTCGATTCTATCACTCTTGTGTCAAAACTAAGCAATTTGAGATAGATTTCGACCCAGTTGCCTCTCACCGACTGTGAAATATATGGTTTTAAGGTCCATCCTATCATCCCATATCTAGCCAGCGAATGCGAGAGATATGTCGTGGTTTAATCGTTTGAGGCAGATTTCATGTGTGGGCAGATTCTCAATGGCTGGTGATCAATCTGATGGCCTCCAGGCTGGTAAAGAGTGCAACCTTTATGTGTTTTCGATGCATATCAGAGAGTGCGGGGATATTCCTGTGACGTCCAGGCGAGAACTTTACCTAGATATCAGTCCCTTCATCCCGGTTTGGAAGAATAAATTCATGAGGTATCTATATGTTTTGAATTCCCTCTCCTTCATAAATTCTCTCAAACCGGCTCTCATTGCTATTGCTATGAAGTAATTTGAATTCCTAGGGAGTTTACAATTGGATTGCTTGATTATAAGCTTGTTTTGATATATTTTGATTTGGCGAAGATTCTATTCAAATGTGTAAAATTTATTTACGATGTTAGTATTAATATGTTTTGAAACCAGACTTTGAGTGTGCTTCAATTGTGCTCTGCAATTTGAGTGCATCCTTCAAATGTGCTCTACAATTTGTGTATTGGGGAATTCACAGAGAAACCCTTGCAAAATCTGGAAGCTAATAGAAGTTTTGTAGAGGATGAACTTTGAGTTCCTGCAAAAATGTGAAAAGGCAAAAGGAGTTAACAAAAATATTTTACTACTAGTAAATATCTTAACTATAAAAAGTGTTTGTGTTACATAAAAGATGAAGCCGCTTCTAATGCTTAATTGTTTATTTAAGAAAACAGTAAATTGGTGTTTAAGAAAGTCTTATGACGTGGAACCGCGAATGAGACTGATGTGGCGCATATGTGGCATCCTAGCCAGCAATGACTTTGCTAGTGTGGTGCATGTGTAGAAGCCCAGTCGGTCATTCGCCGGTGACGTGACACACACGTGAACCGCCATGTGTCGCCACATCAGCGGGTGATCTGTTGACATGAAAATTAACCTACTAATGGACTCAATTGAACATTTTTTTAAAGTTTGGGGATTTGATTGATTTTCTTAAAGTATGTGTATCTAATTGACTTTTTTTGTTTTTCCTTTTAGTAGCATGTGTGCAGTATTGTTGTTAATGGAGTCTATCAAATCGCGAAATTAGCGAGTTGGGCCGCTGTTAAGCATGACTTCAATTCTGAGTCTCATCTCAATGTAGTCTTTAATATGACAAATTTGTATCTAATTCTCGATTTTAATAGTAATTAAGTTATTTTTTTACCAAAACAAAAAAATGTCACATCTATAACACTCCATCTATAATACGTAATAGAAGAGGCAGTATTGATGTAATTCACCTTTTTGTCTTTTCTTTCTCCAATAATGAAACTTCATAGTGTTTGAGTGCACCAAATGTTTTTTTAAAGCCGAAGCGTCTCCTCAGCGGTACTAATGATCAGCATAGTGGACTTGTCATGTCTACCTTTTAATGTGGCAAACATGTACTAAACCAACAAACCATTATTTGCTTCTTTTTGTAAATTTAGAGTCGGCTTGGCATCACAAAAATCATTTGTTTTGGCTGATTTTGTTGAAATTTATGAAGTTTTGGCTGAAGTGGTTGCATTGACTGATTCTACTGATACAAGAAAAAAATATTTTAAAATATATTTTATTAATAAAATAAAGAAAAATTATATGTAAAAATAGCTAAAATGGTCAGCTACAGTAACATCAGCCAATAAAGCCAGAAAAGTAACTCCAACCTTACTTTTTCGGCTTATTACACAATTCTGCGCGCGAAAGCAAAATTTACGTGTTTGGTAAAAAAGTTGGCTGATAAGCCTGATAAGCCGAAAATGAGGCTTGCCAAACGGCCTGTTAATGGCATAGTTCCCAATTACTTTTTGGAGTTTTCTTTTAATATTGAATGTTACACTACTTAATACTTTGATTATATTTTATTTATTAATATATTATTAAATATTTTTTAAAAAACCACATTAAATTTGTTTCATTATAATTTTTAAAATATGTTTTTTTAATTTTTTTACTAAAATAGAATTATTCTGCCTCAGTCTTGAAATAAAGTTCCCGATTTGACCTACATTACATATTGACTTTTCATTTGTATCCTTACTTTACGTTGAATCAAACAAATAGTGAATAAAAAGTAAGGATAATTGTGACTTTTTTTGTTATAAATGGGATCCTTTAACAGAAACGAGATATTCTTTTTGGGATATCAATAAAAAGAAAGTGTGAACTGTTTTTTACACTCCCCAAAAAACATGGATATCACAAAATAACTTTACATTTCTATAAAATGAACTTCTTGATACAAAAAAATCAAATATTCTTGGATTGTATTATTTGTATCTAGTTTGTATTTTATTTGACATAAAATAACACTATAATTAGAAAGTGACTTTGACGATTTTAAAATTCAGAGTTTCATTCTAAAAGATCGACTAGACAGGTTGTTCAACATTTTAATATAACACTTTATTATTTCATATTATCTCCGCTCAATATTTTGTCATGTTTTATCGGTATGGAAAATAATAAAGTAAGATGTGTGTGATTCATAGAAACTCACACCATCATTATGACTGAGTTTGGTTCTATGTTAAGATGATTGCATTCTTAAAGGTGGGGAAGAGTAAGCATCCTTATTTCATACGGAGTATTTTACTAATTTACTTCAACAAACGAGCAGTGGGAGTCCGGAACACCATTTATTTTTGCGATACCACCCACCTAAATCTGATACAAATTTGGTTGAATTTCCCTTCATGTTTTTTTACATAATCTAATACTTGTAGGATTTGGCCGGATGTTTTTCCCCGGTACTTGCAGAGGTTCTAGGCATTTTTAGCATAGTAATCCCTCATCGCAATTGCCGAGATTCAAACCCGGGACCTAAACCTTGTGACACTCCTTTGGTACCAGTTGAGCTACGCCCGCCGTGTTCATTCTTTAATTAATGTAAAGCCATGATGTGCGAAATACCAATTAGGCAATAACCCCTTTTTAAGTGTCTTCCAAAGGCTCTGCTTTTGTTCTCTTTAAGCCTCCACGAGGTTCAATTCACTAGATTTCAATACCTTTACTTAAATTTACTTTATCAAAATTCATCCAAACGGAAATTTAGTAACTAATTAATTTTGATGGTCGGACACCATTCCTTCACGGGGGAGCGCTTCCATCCTTGCAATTCTCCTCTCAGGCAGCGGCGGGGAAGAAGAAGCACCGGCAGGAGTAGAGCAACCAACAATCTTCCGACACGTGTCAATGAGACAGTGGCGGCACGTAGGGCAGGATGAGTGAGAGGTCAACCACTGGTCAATGCAGCGGACGTGGAATCCGTGGTTGCATTTCGGAAGGATCCGAATCCGTTCCCCGGCGGCAAATTCCGACAGGCAAATCACACACTCTGCGTCCAGGCTGGGCGACAGCTTCAGATCATCGCTCGAGTAGCTTATTGTCGGGAACATCTTGAGGGCCTTCTTTTTAATTCCGGTGTTCGCCAATCTCGCCGACGGATCGGAATACGGCAACTCGCCGGACGCGATTATGTTCCAGCACCTTAACAAGCTCCGTACGATGGAGTTCAATCCGAGGGTGAAAATGAAGGCACACAATAGGACTGATAGGACCATCACTACATTCTCGTCCAATGCGTTGCCGCCGACGGCCGGCTCCGGCGACCTCCCGTCGATGACGTTGCTGCTTGCCGGAGGCGGTATTGCATGGGTTGAGAGCCGCAGTAATTTTCTGGACTGGATATTCTCTAACAAATTTTGAACAGAAAGGGTAGATGAAGAAGATGAGACAGTGGCCGCCATTGATTTTGAGTCTGCCCGTGTTTTTTTAATTAAATATCTTCCCTTTTTAGTGATGTTTTGAGTGTGTGGGAAGCAGATATAAATAGGCAGAAAGTTGGTATTAGGGGTAGGCAACTTTTTTATCTTTGGGTCTAAATAATTGAAAACATAATCTCACCAATTTTGCTATAGGTACCTCAACTTTACCCTATTCCCTACCTCATATAAATACCTCTTTTTTACCATTTCTTTTACCCCTTTTCCAAAAACCCTTCCCCCTCCCCCACTTTTCTTCTTCTTCCCTCCCTCCTTCCTCCATCTTCTGTTTTCACGCCCCTCCCCTCCCCTTTCTTTCTATTTTCTCCAATACTTGATTTATTCTCCATTTCAAGATCTCTCCCCATCAAGTCTTCTCATTTTTTTAATCTTTTCTCTCTCCAAGCTTCTTCTCCTGCTTTTCTCCTCGTCGGCTTATTTTTTTCGTTTCAAATGGAAGAGCTATAGTAATCGAACGAAAAGTAGAGCTTGGTGACGTGGGTTGTATTGGTAATGTGAAGACACATGTGGTGAATGAATTACATATGTAATCTCTACAACGAGAAGAGTAAGGTTTCCTGTTAGAATAAAGAATACTCTCTGTCTTACAGTCAGACAAATTTTGTCTTGGCCAGACATTAATAATCTGGGACAATTAACTACTTTCTGTCCTACAGCCAGACAAATTTTGTCTTGGCCAAACATTAGTAGTCTGGGTCAATTAAGTACTCTTTGTCGTATAGCCAGACAAATTTTGTCTGGGCCAGACATTAGTAGTCTGGGCCAATTAAGTACTCTATGTCTGGGTATCAATGGTATTGTCTGTATGTGTAAAGTTATTGTCTTTCTACGTGAAAATAATGTATGTATGATTATCTCTAATGTCTGTCTAGATATATGTATTGTTTATCTATTCACAACAAATAATTTGTTGCAATAAATTGACGGACAACTCAAATGGAATGTCAGACAACTACTTTCACATGACAGACAACTACAAACCAATTTTAAACAATTGGATTTAACGTGTCAGACAACTAATATGTCTTGCCAGACATCTCAATATCATCACAGAGCAATCTAAATATACACAACTACTTCACAATTTCACCAGAAAGACAACTATCTTCACATTACAGACAAATCAAATGGAATGCCAGACAACTCTTTTCACTTCACAGACAACTACAAACCAATTTTCAACAAACAAAAATACAACAAAAAACTATGAGAGCATTCAACTTCGAGAATCTTCAAACACATGCAACTCTTTCCAAGTTGAGCAGCAAATGGGCAAATGAGTCTGGTTTGTTTCTTCACATGTGCAGTAGCTCTTTCCAGACAGACATCTTATGTAAGATTCCACCAATTGTGAAACTATGCTCAGCTAGACAGACGCTGCAATTCAAATTTGTCTGTCAGACAGACAACTGTTTTTCATGTGGAGTTGGACAAAATAATACCAAAAATGAGGAAAAAAGACCATGGCATGCGAGGGCTCAGCTGCTCCTGCCCCTAGCTCCTCTTTCCGTCAAGTCGCCGCTCGCTCCCCTCTTTTCACTAGATTTTGAAGCTAACAGATCTGAACCAAACCTAACAGATCTGAACCATCACATGTATGTTTCGAAGTTATGTTCGCTGGAATTTGAAGGTTTTGAACTGAAATTACAAGTTGGTGCAGAAGGTGCGAAAGGTTTTTAAATCTGGTCGGTACTGAAATTACTGGGACGGCGGTCAGGTGTCGCCGGAGAAGATGACCGGCTTGCCACCGGACCTGCTTGGGTGTTCGCCGAAACCAAGCAGGGGGGCTTAACTGAGGGAAATGAAAGGGAGATGAAATGGAGAAGGGATGGCTGGAAAAGAGAGAGATGAAAGGGAGATGAGGGGGAAGGAAGATGAGGGAGTGGGGGTAAATTTTTGGGAGGGTATTTATATGGGGTAGGAAATGGGGTAACTATGGGGTACCTATAGCAAAATTGTAACCTCACTACACGAGTATAATTATAATTTATGACGGGGCAGACAACTTTTCTTTAAATAAATTACGATTTGCGAATTTCAAATTTAATTGATACGAGTAATAAAATTATGATCTCGTTTGGTAATGCTCAAATCAGTTGCACGTTTATTCTGCTGAAATTTATTAAATTCTGGTCGAAGTGTCGATGGAGTATATGTTCCAGAGACTCCCAGCCCAAATACTTCCACTATTACAATCAGGCCCAACAGGCTCAAGTGGTCCAAACAAAGCAAACTAGACTTCGGACAACCCATAATACAACAAGGTGTAGGGGATGTAAGGCCTCTAACACATGAAGAGTCTTGGCTAGGTACGGCCTCTAACACATGAAGAGCCCTGGGTACGTACGACCTCTAATACATGAAGAGCTCCAGCTACGTGACGGCCCTTTGGGGACATACGTCCTTCACCACATGACGCCCCTCAAAGGACGTACGTCCTCTAGCGCTTGAAGTCCTCCCCAGCTACTTACGGCCTCAGGGGGCGTATGTCCTTCGGTACACGAAATCCTCCTCCAACTATGTACATCTTCAAGCAGATACCAGCCCCCAGGGGATGTCCTCCAGCACATGCAATCCCCCAAGGAACGTACGGCCTTTGGCACAGCCAGCCTTCGGCCCATACATGACAAACATGGTCTTTGGCACATGCAGCCCCGAGGTGCATGTAACCAAGAGCACTCTCCTAAACATGATCTCCTCTCCACATGCCCTGGATCCCCGCATTAAATACAATGTCACATCCAACCACCGCATTGAATACGGCCACATGCTATGTCGGCGCCACCCTGGCTGAGTTGACTCTCCATCGTTGGTTACTAGCCACGTGTACCCTCACTTATTGTACCTAACATTTATGGCTGCTATAAATAGCAAGTCTACTCCTCATTGTAAGGGATTTGATCCGATCCAACATTCTTGAGCTCACTAAATATACACTACTCTCTCTCTCTCTTACTTGTTCTGACATCTCTCCAGATATTTCTAATAATATCCCTCGGATAAGCTACCCCCCGGGTACACTATCCATCATTAGGTGCTTTCATTAAGAGGTCGAACAATCAAGTAAGAACCCCTCCCCTCCGAAAAACGAAAAACATTATTCAGAATGGTGACGCTCGTCCCCAACCTTGGGCACACTAGTCGCCTGCCTTCGGCGGGAACCCAAGGGGTAGTGGACTCCCTTGTGTTAAGTAGATAGCCCTTCGTCCAAGTTCATGGCAGTAAACCGTTTCCCCTCCGGCACAAGATGGACGTTTGCCCAGCCTAAGCATGAAGAAAACACGTTCCTCGTCTTCACCCGGCAACAAGGGGGAGCCTTAGTGGATCCCTCGTCTACAATGGTTCCCTCTTCGGTCAAACCCGACAGAAGGATCACAATTCTCTCCCCCTCAGTCCTAGGAAAAGGGATAGCTCCACCCTCGACCAGAGGACCCTCGTCCTCGTACGTCCCCTGACGGTGTCCGTTGAATACAACTATCTCCTGAGAGTAAGGATAGAATCCAACGTACGTCTCTGCTCTGTATCTCCTTTACTAGTTTGGTACCCGACGTACGTTCCCTGACGTGTCCCTGTGTCACGCCCCAGATTGCATCTAAGCGCGTGTACAACCGCCGTGTGATTAAGTGACGTCACTCGCAAGTCAACCTCACATAATCACACAAGGCGTTCATGAACATCATTCACACCATACTCAGTAGTAAACATACATAACAACATCACATCATAGATTGAATGAATAGCGTAAAATATTCAACGGTCAATCATAAGCCACATGTGGCAAAACGTAGGCTCGTAGGCCAAAACAATGTAATATTACAAAAGTATCCATGAGAATAGTTTATGATTTAAAATAATAAAGGAAGCACGAACCACGTCTTCCTCTAGATTCTTTCCACTCGTGCAAAGGTGTAGACAACAGGCTCTAGCTTCAACCTGAAATGGTGGGGCCCCCCGAAGGGGTCAATACCGAGCGAGTAGCAAGCTAAATGTAGAGTAACTAACGTTTCAAGTATAAGACCCAAACATAGGGTGATACATATACTTATACTTCCTTACCCCAAGTTACAAAATACATATCCGTACTTATATACACTTGGAAATACCCGACCCGTAGGTCATTGTTTAATTGGGAAAAATAATAGTAGTCAATGTCCTTGACTTAAAACCCCAACCCATCCATAGACCTATGAGTGTATAGGAGTCCTCATGTCCAAATCAAATAATCATAAGGACACCGCCCGGTCCTAAATTACTAAATAGTAATCTATGAGTTTTGAGGATACACACCCGATCCTTGGGTACTCCACCCTATATAACCGAGTTTTGAGGATACTGCCTGATCCTTAGGTGCTCCACCCTATATAACCGAGTTTTGAGGATACCGCCCGATCCTTGGGTATTCCACCCTATATAACCGAGTTTTGAGGATACCGCCGATCCTTGGGTACTCCACCCTATATAACCGAGTTTTGAGGATACCGCCCGATCCTTGGGTACTCCACCCGACCTATGATCTACCACATATCATACTAGATAGGGCCTATATCATAATCAATAAACAAGACTAGACCAAGTCTTAAGGCCTAAACCAAAATCATCCATGCAACTCATGCATTAAAATTTGCATATAGGTAAAGTAAGGCCAAACCGGCGCCGGTCAACGCTCGGTTGACCCGTCATTCCAAATCCAACGTGTGTCAAACTTAGTCACAATATGTACTAAGTTATAAATAACTATTTTATGCACATTTCATCTCTATACATATCACATATGTTTTTATGAGCATTTTCACTTCACAAATCATGCATATTTCAATAGTTCACTTCATACAAGCCTAGTCACTTTAATTGGCTAATCACATGTATAATTCATTTAAACATTATTATGAACACACATAACATATACTTAGGTAATCCTATGCTTAACCCAAAAGTTACAAGACATTAAGCCATCCACTCACCTCAAATGAGCTTTAAGAAGATTCTACTCCCCTTAGTTGAACTCCGACGAAGCTCCGGCGAACTCCGGCGA